ACTTGTTCCAACATCACCAAAGACAACACCAAGAGTTTGAAAAGCCAACAAAATTTTCTTTCCCACGGTCATATCCTGCAACAGCACAACAAAATGAAGAAAGCAGATACAAAAAACAAACTCAAATTGACAAAATGATTTTAAACTTGTTTCCTGTCAATCTTGTGTCAACACTGTTGTCAAAGATATCGGTCAACATTGTCCGAGCAGCGTCTCAGCTATCAGATGGTATGACCTATGCATCGTAAGATTTCCTAATCACAATATCCCAGGAAAAATTAATACAACCCCAGCATGGAATTTTACTAGAACCAAAACGGTTAGGACTCAACTGAACTTTGAAAAACAGAAAACGACATGAGGAATTTGATAGTTAAAGTGACTTCAGAAGAAGCCAATTCGAATTGGGTAATGGGTGAGTTTGACTTGAGTGACACTGAGAAAAGGTATGGCTGGGTGCAGTGTAGTAGGAACATTAGTAAGGATGGTTGCAGACAATGTTTGGAAGCTATGTTGGATATAGTTCCTCATTGTTGTAGAACAAATGTAAAATGGGCAGTGTTGTCTCCTAGTTGTGGGATGGAGATTGAAGATAACAAGTTCTACAACCTGCAAACAAGATCTCTTTCTCTGTTTCCAAATCCAGGTAATATCAATTGAGATAGTATAAAAATACCACATAACTTAAAGATGAAACTTTTTTGTATATCTGCGTTGAATATATGCATTCTATGTAAGGATACTCAGAGGTCACCAACTCAAGCATGCAGATACCAAATGAGTATATGTCAGCTAATTCGTTGTAATTTTCATCATACATTTTAGGTGCCATAAACTCCGGAGTTCCTACCAGGATTTTATCCATAAGTTTCGCAAGAACCTATTCTACATAGTCAATCCCACTAAACTTATGGCATCACTTACACTTTTACAAGTATTTAACTAGTAGAAGACCTGTGCGTCCGCACGGGTATGAGAAAAATAATGAGATATAGTATTAAACATGTTGATAGTTGAATTATATTCAAATGCACATTAAGAGCAGTATTTATGTATGTTTTTTTATTCGAATCTAACGGATTGTATCTCGGGTAACTTTATGAAGTATTTGAATAAGATTTTAAACATTACAGTGAAAAGATTGAAATATATAATAATCAGAATTTTAGACTTTTCATTTTTTAGAGCAATATTTATACATGATTTCTTATTTGAATCTAATTGATTTTGTCTCGTTAGTGTTAATTTTGTTTTCATATATAAAAATAGTTTAAATTCAATATTAATATTTATTATTTTTATAAAAGAAATACCCATAAATGACAATTAAATCGACAGTAGTGTTTAACCTATGCATGCAATCACCAATTAAATTAATAACCCTACATTAACCATCAGTTCAATTGGCACCATCACTTAATAGTTCAATTGGCATCACCACTTAATTTTTAATTGAAGTCACAAATTTGCCTTACAGTAGCTCTTTGTTTTTATTTAATTGTATTTGAAAGTGAATCATTTTAAAATTTTGTAAAAAATGTGATTATTATGAAAATTTATTTAAATAAATGGTTATTTAGATAAAAATTTCTGTATTGGGACGTGTTTGATTTTCCATCGTGATATACTTTTATAAGCAACTAACTTTATTTTATTTCTAAAAAAAACAATTTACGTAAAATTGGCATTATATTATAAATATACACTTTATAAAGTACAGACGTTTACTCATAGCTCTTTGATTCACATTAATAATTATAGTAAAAAATTAACTGCACAATCCTTTAATTTATCAAAGTACTGTAAATTTATTTAATAATTCACAAGAATAAACTTATTTGATACGATATAATTGTATTTAAATGTACATGTAAATTTAAAATAAATTATTTAATTAATATCAGCATTAAACAATATTTCATTCAATCAATCACTTATTATTAGTAACAATAAATTAGAATGATCAGCACCATATTTCATGCCACAATTATATTTGTTCCCTCTCATATACAAAATTAAGAAACACTTTCACTTTTGATAATGGTAAAGATAGAAATTAAGTTGAAGGATTTTTGCAGTTGAATCTAGCCTCAATTTTCCCTCAAACCCCCTCATTTGGCCCTCACGTTTGACTAATACTACCCCCTCATTTGGCCCTCATGTTTGACTAATACTACATTCAATGGCCACACTCTTTTGATACGTTTTGGAGAAAAAGGAAAGATTGAAAGCATTCATGCAAAGTTAACTTTAGGTTGACCTAGTCATATTGGTCTTTCTCATGTGCTTGATCATAGTTATTTTCTAATGACATATTTTAAGGAGAGTTCCATTCAAAAAAGAGGATTCAAATTCAAGATGTAAATGGAGGGAAAATAGTCATATACATTTAGTTTAAAAATCAAATCCAAGTCACTTTGCAAATATCATTACAAAGTCAGATTGGTCCAAATACAAGTTATACAAGAAAAGGTTACAAAAAGAAAATTATAGAAATACAACTTTGGATTTTGCTCAATTGTTGACCAAGTTTAACCCTTTAATTAAGACTCTCTAAAGACCTGATTCAATGCCATTTGCTTCCTTTCTTCTTCCATCTCCATCTTCACATTTGGGTAGTCTCATAATGTGGTCAAGTAGGCTTTATGCTCTTGCCAACATTGGTCCATCAAACTTGCCACACGCAGCACGCATCAAACCGTAACTCAACAATACAACATAACCTGCCATGAGAATAAGAAAGGAGAAGATACTTTATGGATATGCAGAATTCGAAGGTGTTTCAAAACAAAATTGGAGTTTAAAAATTGCACCACGCAGCGCAATTCATGACAGCGGAAGAACAATGATGGTATCCATGAAGATAAATTTTGAAGCATACAAGCTTACCTCAATCAAAACATGTTTGTCACGAGTGCTCAAATGTCATCTAAACCTGGACTAATGATGTGTTGCAAAGTGAAAAGATCCTGGAGAAAATCCCAGTCCTGGAACATTAGTAGAGGCAAGAGCTAGTGAGCTTGATATGTCAACCTTTCCTGCAGAGGAGATTCCTAAAAAAAGCAAAGCACAACATCATCACGTGAGCAGATCCAAATGTATCACATATTATTCAATAATTCAAAAGTAAATTTTGAAGCTCACTCATTCGTGTTAGAAGCCATTTATCACAATTTAAATCATACCAAGTCAAGTCATTCAAAGAGCCTTACATATTCAAAGTTCATCCTAGTTTGCATCCAATTTACTCAAACCTATCATGTTTCATCCAAACATTTTAAACCAGAATTCATTCATCACAACCTAATTCGGAGTTCATTATTTAATTCAGTTTCAAACCATTTCAGTCATATCATAGCAGCATATGAGCAGCATTTCTACCATTTACAGTAGTAGAATTTCAAAGTACCTATCAAACTCAGCAGCATCACCACCTGTTTCAACACCGTCAATGAAAGAAAGTGAATAGTTCTCATTATCAAACTCCGCTTTCATCATTTTTGCAATACTCATAACCTTCCCAAGGGTGATCGGATGGACCGCCTTCTAAGAATAATCGCCTGGAGTTGAGTACCTGACATTAAAATTTAGAGAAATCAGGTGATTGAAAAAACAAAGCAGATAACACAGAGCTATAACACAAATATTAGCATATCTAGTGTTTCAAGTAATTTCTTAGTACTTCTTGAAAAGATCGTTAAGCAGGTAAAAAACTACACTACAAACAGATTGACACAGTCAATTTGATGATTCTGAACAAACCTTCTAATCATGTGAATCAAAAAATACACTGCAAATAGCCCGACACAAACCTTCTAATCATGTGAATCAAAAGGTACAAATATCATGTTTGCAACCGACATAACAAATAAGTAAATATTTGAGAGAATTACCTCATCAAAATCAGCTGCTGCACCAGTTGGAGTTGAGATCGCCAGCAAATGAAGCCTTGTTGCCAGTAAATGATAAAAATGGCAAAGGAACTGGAATAGGAACACATTAAGACAATGAATTTTCACTGCAGGAGGAACACAATACCTCCTAAATGAGAAAAATAAAGGATGAACTAATCATATCAGAAAAAGAATAGACATCACCACAAAGGAGTCTACATTGCTTGAGGTATACAAACATTCAGACAAAGCTTAATAGCTAACCTTGGCAAGAAGTTCGTCTCTTTGACGAACACGTTCAACATCCTTCTCTAATTCAGCATTACGTTCCTTCAACTGATTTAAAGTTCCTTCGTTTTTCTCAAGAGACTGAAACAAAATTAGTAAACCAATCCTGAAGTTATCGAGCAACTATGATTTAGGAGATTTCTATAATTTCTTAGCAAAGGGTGAACTTACCAGCTCGACATGCTTCAATGCACGACTTTTATCAATTATTGCACGATGTTGCTCAGGAAGTTGTGGGTCACCAACAGCCTTTTCGGTCTCTTCCAGAAGTTGCACGGGAGTTAACTTTGCAAACTCACAGACCCTGTCTTGCGGTAAGAACTACCAAAAAGCCAAGTATTAGCCGATCATAGATTTGAGCATCACAATAAACATAACACCTATAGCAATATTCCTCAAAACTAATACATAAAATAACTAAATCACATGGAGCAATGTTGTTAAATGCCAGTATTGAAGATGGCAGTGGTAGAAATTTGACAAACTACCATACAATGGCACTGGCATTGCAGATTATGATTTCGTTTTATTTAAATCCAGCGGTGAGGCTTATATTAAGCCTCTCTTTGGATATGGAATAAGACATGTTTTCTTTTCTGGACTTTGCTTAAAACAGCTAAAATTTTAAAATTATTAATCGTACAACTAATAAAGCATTTGACCAAAAGTCAAGACCCCTCCCCCAACTTCAGCCGCTGCTAAAATATAAGCAACTTTCTCGTCTAGCAATTCAAATTCTAAGAAGCTTAAAATTTAAACAATTACTAACATGTAACAAAGTAAGAAAAGACACATACTTAATAGGCTCTTTAACTTCATTTAATAATTTTGCAGCCTTTTCAAACTCTTTGCAGCGGTCTTTTCTCGCTCCTTAGCTTCACGATACTCTGCCTGCTTCATATCATACCTCAGCCATGGCAATTTCTTTTTCATTGATTCGGCCTACAAAACAGATACAGGCATGTTTTTTTATCTTTTCCATTAAAAAAAATACATTAAGACAGTGAATTTTCACTGCAGGAGGAAATAAACACAGCCATCATACCTTTCTGCTCTTCAAATGGTAGAAATCAATAAGGTCATCAGGCTGTGCATTAGAAATTTGAGCCTTTGCTTTAATCTCCTCTGTCTCACGGCGCTGCTTATCAGCAAGCATTTTCACAAAGCTCTGCCTGCAAGATTGCATCCATATCTTCCTTATCTCATCACCAGTATTGCATAGCAATCTCATGCAAAGGACAATCCTGTCATGAGAATCATTATCAATTGGATGTGGAAGAACTGAAGACTGACCAGGCTGCATCATTGAGACTGTGATCAACAAAGTCTGTGAAGTTGCCTTGTTAACTTCAACTTTTAATTTGAAGAAAAACCAGATGAGCAGGTGTACCAACATTATCCACAGAAAAACCAGATGAGCAGGTGTACCAACATTATCCACAGATGAGGAGGTGTTGAATGAGAAAGAGAAGAAATGAATCAATCACCATGATCATTAATAACTGATTGAGCATGTGACTAAGGTATATTTTGCTTGCTGAATTTATAATCAGTTTCCGGCGTCTCGACTGTAGAACTGATCGAGTGTCTTTGCTGGTATACGGTGAAGAAGCTCGCGAGGGAAAATACGAAGCAGAGTCCATGCAAGATCTAGAGACTGGAAGATGTTCCGGGTATCATAAGCTCCTTGTGCAACAAACTTCCTCTCAAACTTGTCCAGAAATTCCAGATACAGCTGTGAATAAAAAAAGAATTTAATTAATGTGGTTACTTCAAGATTAAACTTTGGTATAATAAAAAGAAATTATCCGTAGAGGGGAAATATTAGAGACCAGTTCCTCAGACGAAAGTGCTTCTTCTCCGACCACAGCTTTCATTGCTTGGACGTCTTTTCCAATGGCATAATTTGCATAGAGCTGGAGAAAAACATAAGGACGCCAATGAGATAGTTTAGAGATGGAAATTTTGCAATATGATAAACAAAAACATAAAAGACGTAAAAAAGAAGACCCGGTTGGACACATCAGAGTGATCCTTTCGTGTCATTCCCTCCCCAATGGCACTCTGCAGAAGTAACAGCAACTATGATGCATAACAACAATATAATAAAACCTCATAATTTTTAATTGAAGAGAACAATTTTACTTTTGCTAGACAGGGCCGGAATCATGATAAATTTCGGAGAGAATTATCAATTGATGGCATCTTGTGACATCAAGCAGACAAGATTAACCTCACCTTCATTAAACGGGAGAGCGATGGAAGAACGTTGATTGGTGGATATATCTGTTCAAAACAAACAAAAAGGAATCGTGTGTTCAGTTTCGGTCTGAACGAATATGATACAAATTTCAAACAATGCGAACGAAAATTATAACAGCCAGAACGTTCAATATAACTGACCTGCTTGTTATGCAGCTGCCTGTCAATATATATCTGCCCCTCAGTGATATATCCAGTAAGATCAGGAGTTGGATGTGTAATATCTGTGTAAGACGTTCAATAAAGATAATCAGACATGATTAAGAGACATGATTAAGAGTGCATTATGCAAGAGAGCTGAAAAGGTTTAATAATATATTTCATTACCATCGTTAGGCATGGTTAGAATTGGAATTTGCGTGATAGAGCCTTTTCGCCCCTCGATTCTTCCAGCACGTTCATATATTGTTGCAAGATCTGTATACATGTAACCAGGATATCCACGTCTACCAGGCACTTCTTCACGGGCAGTAGATACCTACAGAATTCAGAAGTGATCAATAGTCTCATTGACAATCAAATTGTTTCAGGCATTTTTTGTAGACAAACAAATCATAGTTGAAGGTATATTACCTCACGAAGAGCATCAGCATAAGAACTCATATCTGTGAGTATCACAAGAACATGCTTGCCGCATTCGTATGCCAAATATTCAGCAGTGGTAAGAGCAATACGAGGAGTGATGATACGTTCAATTGTAGGATCATTTACCTGCAATATATCATGGCAGAAAAAGAACAAGCATCTTAAGTATCAGATCTCCATGCACATAAAGAAATCAAACATAATAGGACGGCAATAGAAAAAACCAATGAAAATAATAGAACACTTGCATACTGATTCTAAAGATTACCAGATTAAGGAAAAGGGTCACTCTCTCCATAGAGACGTTCTCTTCAAAGTCACGTTTGAAAAACTGAGCAGGTGTACCAACATTATCCACAGACAGCTGATTCATTTGAGTTTATCTACTGAAAAATGTATGGTGACATTGTTTGAAGGAAGGAGAACATGATGATAAACAAATGAACCAAAACACTTACAGCCCAATAATGCTGATTTGAAATATCCCAACCACCGTGATAACGATGAAATCGCCGCCAGAATAAGAGTATTATCACCTTGAGGCCCTGGTGCTGGAGCCACTTGTGTAGCTTTGTTCTGCCATGAACCTATATTCACTTCTCCTCCACCTCCTGAAAATATTCAGAAAAATCAAACATCAAAACAAAATGAACCAAAACCAGAAACAATGGAAATAATGGATCTTGTGTCTGAAGTAGATCTTTTGAAAGACTACAACCAGAAACAATGGAAATAGAAGACCAGTAGCTAGAATGTTAGGTCAAGAAACTAACCTGAGTGTTGGTAATACGAATGGAACAACAAACAACAAACCACAGTGCGTCATTACAAACAAAACGATGGTGATGAGGATAAATCTGAATCAAAAAACAAAGCGAAATCAAAAAAATGAAATCATGTCATTACAAAACGAATACACAGACGAATAACGACATACCTTGTAGCTTGCAAGGAATGCGATGAACTGCCTGAAATGAGCTATTAACAAAAATGGAAGAGAGAAAGGCGAGAGAAAGGAGGCGGAGGCGGTAGGGTTTTAAGAGAAAGAGAGAACTTCGGAAGAGAGAAAGGCGAGAGAGAGAAGGTGAGAGTGGGAGGGAAAGGGAAATGGTGCCACTTGGCAAAATGGATTCTTCTGATTGGATGAAAGAATAGAATTTGTTAATTACTGTTATGACCTTGAGTTGGGCATAATAATTTTAAGTGTGAAGGGTATAACCGGTAGAATGGTGGCAATCCCTTGTAATGGGTAGGTAGTTGATGCATGTGTATGTGGCTGATAAATTTGAAAAATCCATGGAGATAAAATAAAGATTTTGAAATAAAATAATTACCATATGCATTTCCAATCTCATCAATGCTGGATATAGAGCATACAAACACCACAGAAACAGCCAACAGGAACCAGTTTATAACAGGAATGTAGATTTGACCCGTAAACTTCCGAGATGTGTGAATTATTTTAAGACGCGGGAAACAACCAAGAGCAGTTGACTGTTTTATGCAAGAAAATGTAGTTGTTGTCATAGTCCTACTTGCAATAAGTGCAGCAATATTAGCAATGAGAAAAGTTGGCCAGAATACACCACCTATAGACAAAGAACAATATTACACCGAAGCTTATGTGAAGTGTAGAGACATTGTAAGGAATGCAAAACACAAATATATATATAAACACAGACACACACTGACATCTACTTGGAATAGAAGAAAAAAAGGCCTCGCCAGCATCAGCATGGTGTTCCATAAGGTATGCAGCTTGACCCAAATAACCCAATAGTAGGCACGGCAAAACAAGGAACACAAATTTGAGCTGCAAACAAACCAGCATCAGTTCCATCAATGTATAATTTGATATGACAAAAGAAATAAATGAAGTCTAACCAGAAGCCATGATAGATGATTCATTACCTGAACTGCTCCAACAGAAAAATACTTACATATGACCTCCCAACAAAAGACCCCGACTAGAATCAAAACTACAACTTTATCAGCATTATCTAATCCTACTAATACAGCCAACTCATGGGAATAATACATGCTTCTCAAATAATAGTAAAACTTGCCCATGAATTTTACAAAATCATACTCCATTTGCAATCAAGGAAAATCTTAGCTATCGGTTAAAAATGAGATGGGTGAGAGTGAGGTTAAATAGTGAAGAGTTGCAGTTTCCCTTCAGTTAAAATCGCCACGGGAGAGACCATTTCCTTCAAACATACTTCTCAACAGCATAATTGGAAGATAGAAAAGACTCCCGTAATTCTCTCACTCGAGCGATTTCCTTTGCATTGATACACTACCATCAAAATCATCATCCTCATCTCCGGAATCAACATCAGAACCAATATCTGATGACAAATCATTTTCTGCATCCTCACCTTGTCCAACACCATTTCCACCCTTAAAGTCTTCACAAGCATCCTCAACATATGCTCTTGTTACTTGCCTCATTTCATCATCTAACTTGCTCCTCCTATATCCAACCAATTCCCTATCAACCCTGGCTTTCCGGGGGCTCAAAATCACAAGCTCGGCAAGCTTCCGTCGCGCCAAATACAAATCATTAGGTTCAACCAACTCACCTTTCCTATAAGCCTCTCTAAGAAAAACAGTGTGAAGCTTCCCGTGATTCCCTCTGGTGGAGACGTAGAAAATCCCCTGATGCTGAAGCAAAAATTCCTTCAACTTTTTTGGCAAGTGCATTGCCATCCGAAAATGCGCAATCCTCTCCAAAGTAATCTTCTTCTCGACAGTCAAAGATAACAATTCATGAATGGTAGCAACAGCCCTTTTCTCCATTCTCTTCTGTGCCTCAATTGACCTCAAATCATACCCAGAAAAATCCTCATAAGGTGACCAATAAGGTAACCTTTGCCACTTCCACATTGCAATCCTAAAATACTTGCTTATCTTAAAACCAGGTGGAAAATCAATCAAAAAAGAAAACCTAACATCTTCAGCATCCCTACCTTTCTCTCTATAAACTTTCTCCCTAGCATCTTCAATTGCACATATTCCTAGCTTAGGGTCAAATTCAACAAGTTCAATGTACTTGTTCCTAGTTTCTTTAGCATCAATTAACCGGAAAAATTCAGGGTACCTCAAAACAACCGAGTATTCAAAATCATCCGGTAGCCCAAGGGCTGATCTCGCAATCCTCACATGCTCGAGGCGTAATCGGAGACCATTTGACATCATGAGGAGCTTGCGGAGGCGTGTGACAGCTTGCGAGACTTGATCTGCAAGCGCGAGACGCTCCTGTTCAATCTGAAGAATAGCCTTACGGGTTAACCTACAGAAGAGGATGCGCTGAACGGGGTGCTCGAAGATTTCGAACACGTGCGGGAATTTAAGAAGAAACGCGCTGGATTCATGGCGCGTGAAGCCTATGCGATGAGCTAGGGTTTCCAGACGAGGGATTGGGATTGATTGATTGGGTTCAGAGAGGATAAGGTTCTGAAATTTGAGGACTTTTCGAGTTTTCTTCTCGATTTCCATGTAATTGTCGTAGCCATGATCGCGGATTCTTAGTTGTTTTTTAGGGATTGAGGTAGATTGTGACATTTCTCTGATGGGATTGGAATTGGGGTTGTGTTGGTGGTGATGAATCCATTGTGAATTTTGGAGATTTCGCTTTAGGAAACTTTGGATGCGAAAAATGAAGAACGACATTTTTAGGGTTTTGGAGGAAGGGGATGTTCATTGGTTTTAATTAAATTCATATTTTAGATATATTATTAATATGATTTTAATTAAATTTATAATTTAGATATTTATATTTAAAATAAAAATTAGATTAATCAAATTTTATATATAAAAAAAAATTAAAACAAAATCTATTATTCAGAAAATATATATATTTTTATGAAAAAAAATTAGTTTTGTGGAAAAATATTGTTTTAGACAAATATTTTTTTAATAAATATAAAAATATTGAAAAATAAAAATAATATAATATTTTTTCCAAAAATTAAAAAAAAAATTGAACATAAATATTTTTTCTTAAAATAAAAAAAAAAATTAAAAAATTAAAAAATTCTTTAAAAAATGATTTTAAAATAAAATTAATTATAAAATTGGAGATGGATATAGCTGGTTAATACTGATTTATAATCATTTTACATAAATGAAAACCGATTATTACAATTGATTTTAATAACCAGTTATAACATATGGATTATTTATGGTTATGGATTGGTTATGAAAAATTAATCATCAATGAGCATCCCTATTTGGAGATGTAGGGTTTATGCAGTGATTTCGGCTATGGAAGATGGATTCGAGAAATGCACACAAGTTAGAGCGAGAAAGGGCATTTTGCAAAATAATTAGAGCATAAAGGAGAGTTTAATGAAGTTATTTTCAATTTTGGGTCGGATTGTAAGTGATAACAAAATATATTGATTATTTATGTAATTTTAAGTTTATCATAAAAAAAATGGAAAGAGAATTAACTATGTTGATTTTTTTATGGTGCCTTCTAAGGTGAGGGCTCTAAGAAGTCCTTCACCATGGACCATCATTAAGAATTGTTGGATTATTGGATCTTACAATAAACTCTTCATATTGGATTTTTTTTTTACTAAAAAAGACTTTCTCACTGCCTCATTTTCCATTTTCTTGTAACCGCAATGATGGAAGAAGCTGCTGCAAATCACAATATCATATTTAACCGTAGTGGATTGTGGCCTTTTGATTTATTAACTAAGATCAATCTCTTAATCCATATGATACCTTTATTTGCATTGACAATGGTGATGTCTTCAAATTTGTAGAAACTGATCCATATTTTTAATTAGGTTGAATCAAAGAATACAAAACAAAAAATTATGAAAGGGATATTAAGATGACTCCATTAACACGTGATTGGATAACTATACTGAACATTACAAAAGAAAATATAGGCAAATACTAAAAAACAATCATTGCCGAGGGGTTGATGGATTTTTCATAAGCTACAGAATGAAAAAAAAAATGTATTACACTTTAAAATGAAAAGCTGACTAACAACATGATTGTAATTCTAGAAAATACTATAATTTTTACTGGAGGAAATTACTAATTTTGGGTATGCATCAATAACATTAGAGATGAATGTATAACTAAAAGAAAATACATGTTAGAAATAACATAACATGATTGCTTCACAGCTCTGATACTCCATGATATTTTTGAAAACTACTTTGATGTACTGCATTGTGTTTATATTTCTAAAAGTAAAAAAGGCATTAAGCAGAACATGTTCATCAATCTCTAGTACACAGATCTCAACAGTAAACTAAATATACAAAAGTCAAGATTATTCCATTTAAATAAAATAAAATAAAATAAATAAGAAAGAACCTTTAAATCACTAAAATATAGCAACAT